TCTCCATGGGCTCTGCGAGGTTGACAAACTGGAAACATCGATAGGTACAACACATACAATCAGTGGACCGCTGGGGCTCTGCATAAATTTTTACGCATGTAAAGGGCTCCGGAGCCCAAAAAGTTTGAGAACCACTGCTCTATGCCAATATCTAATTCATCGATGAAGATATTGAACAGAATATATATCTACTATATATTTTAGATAGTTTGTATATCCGTGTTTGTGTATGTCCATCCATCTGTGAGTGTTTATTCAAGAACTCCTTCTAAATGGTAAGAGTTAGGACCACCAAATTTGGTATACAGCATCCTCTTATCATAGTTTAAAACAAGGTAAGGGTTTGGCTGTGCCAGGACAATGGGCTCTGCCCTGAATCTGATTTATTTCTCATTAAATGGAAAGGGAGGGCTTGGCACCCACGAGCCACCTGAGGTAAACAGTGTTAAGCTAGAAGCAGCCATGGCGGGGGGGGGGGGGGGGGGGCAGCAAGTATGCCAGCCCAGGAAGCAATTCTGCCAGCCAGGCAATGTGGGCCCCACTGCCCTGGTCGGTCCCGAGGAGGAACGCTGCAGGCTCGGCAACATAGTCTTGCCCATCCCAGCTGGTCCCAGGGAGCCTCCCACTTCCAAATCTCTGGCTGTGACTCCTACACCCACCATCTTCTGCCCTGATTCCCACACCCACCACACCGTGCCCTGAGCCCTCCTCATACTTCCCAACCCCCTGCCCTGACTCCTGCACCTTCATCTCCTTCCCTGAGCCTGCACACCTCTTAACCCCCTGTCCTGACTCCTGCACCGTCATCTCCTACCCTGAGCCTGCACACCTCCTAACCCCCTGTCCTGACTCCTGCACCTTCATCTCCTACCCTGAGCCTGCACACCTCCTAACCCCCTGCCCTGACTCCGGCACCCCCCCTAACTCTGCCCTGACTCCTGTACCCTCTACATCCCCAGTCCTCTTCCATGAAGGACCCAAGCAATGATGGGTAAATCTTCTAGTTCTTCATAAAATAAAAAGAGACTTCAGCCTCACACTAAATCTTTTTTTCCCCCGTCAATCAGATCATCTGTTTTATACTTACAGTCACAAATTGTGGTCTGTGCTCATGTAAGATGTCATGTCTCTTACTATTATTGTTATTTATTATGTGTATTATAATAGCTTCTTTGAAGTAGGAGAGCTGATACCTAGACTTTCCCTTTCAGCTCTCTCTAAGCATTGCTGCTCTTCCACAGAGCAATTCAGAACTTTTGTGTCCATTCTTGCACTGTGTTGCTTACCTGTTGATAACAGGTGAGATCTGTGGAAGTGATCCTATTACGGAGAAAACAGGCTGATTTATCAGTAAACAAAGTTCTCTGATAAACTCCATCTTCTCCACACGCTCATATTCTCCCTCCTCCTCCTTCAGATGTTAAATTCAAATCCATTAGGCCACAAACCTGAGGGCTAGATTATCAAGTGCTGTAAATTGGGACAGCTCCATTGACATTAATGGAGAACCAGATAAGCATATGGTTCTGAGTTAGAGAAGTTAAACAAATCCTTAAAAAAGAACTGTTTGCTTGGAATGGATATTGAAATGCACGCTATAGCTTTCTCAATCTGTTTTATGGATCCCATATCCCATGTTTTGATACATGTGTTTATCCACAGAATGTACCTCTGTGGAGGAAATAAATCATTTGGAGAACCAACCTACATTATTAAGAATTTTTTCTTCCTCTTTAGTGATGTGACTATTTTAAGAGTCCCGCCACTGAAAGTAACATTACTGTGTTAAGCTGTATTATAGTCAATAGGAACAACGACATTAAATGAACCTTGAGGGCCCAAAGGGAAGCACTTCAGTCATGAGATGAACAATTTTTTACTCTGCCTTTTACTTGATGTTTTAAAATATGACACCCACTTTCACACAAACAGTTCAGTATACTTTTAAAAAGATAAACGTAAGGATGCATTTGGCCTGCTGTAGCCTTTCAGGCAGTAAGTGCTGTTGGTCCTTAAATTGTTTTAAAAATTCTTCACAATATCATACAATGTTTTGGGTCTACCATCTTAGACATATGAGAATCAGAGCCTTTGTCTTTATTGATTTGCCTTTATGCAACTGTAACCAGACAGAAACCCCAACCCTTCTGACTCTCCCCTCCTCCCTCTGACATCCTTGGGAGAGAAAAATCCTTGAGAGCGAAACTCTGTTTTCAAAGGCTCCAGAGTCTCCAGAAGTGCTGGAATAACAATGGCCCTGGATGCTAGACAGGAACCAGATAACAGCGGCAACTGGGCCAGCAGGTGATCGGGGCCTTGGGCTACCTTTGTCTGGTACCAGTATTGATACGCCTACACACACCGCCCCAGAAGAGGAATCTGCCGCTCCATCAGAAAAAGGATGTCTGGCCCTAATGATTTAGTTACCTCCACCTCACAGGTGCAAATTAAGCTTTGGACCCTCTGTGGGAATGGGCACCACAAAGACGTTCCAACTTAATTGGCATTTTAATGACAAGAGACGCGTCTACGTGACCACAGGGGTATAAAGTAGGGCCCTGTGCCCCCACTGTAATTGGAGATCCACCCATATACTTGCTGGTCAGGCGGTCTTGGACCCCTGAGACTTTAGGGATGCCTTCGTCTCGAACCGACTACTTCCCATTGGGATTGAGAGAAAAGCTGGCTTCGCCGGAGTAAGGATCGCAGGGGTGAGAATATACCTGCTAGGTATCTATTTTTGCACACATTCAATAAGAGCTCGGAGAACCAAAAGGGTTTCATGGCACCTTTAAGTGACTTTTCATTGTATTTTCTGTCTTGCCTTTTGTAGTGGCTGTGTCATCTGTAACACAGAAGTAACATTTAACAGCTAAGCTTGCCTTGTAACAATAAAATAGTTACTGTTTAAGCTTTAACTCCTCCTGTTGCTGTAACAGAACCAAACACAATCAAAAGAACCATAGCCCGTCAGGGGTAAACGCAGTAAGAGCTGAGAATTGAGTTGTGCCGCCTCCACGGGGCAGACTCTTTGGGGGCACCCGTCAGCCTCCCTGGCTGCCTGCTGTGAAGGGACTTTTGTCCTAGCAGTCGAAGTCTCGAGTGTAATGAGCTCTCTCTGCACCACCGTGGGGCACCCGTCAGTTTCCCTGGCTCCCCGCTGTGAAGGGACTTTGTCCTAGCACTCAAAGACTCGGGTGTATCTTTGGGGTGCCTGTCAGCTTCCCTGGCTGCCTGCTGCGTAGGGACTCTGTCCTAGCAGCTAAAGACTCGGGTGTGATAGGGCTCACAAACCACTCAGTACCCCAGCCACCCGCTAAGAGCAACTAAAAAAAACCCCAAACCCAGGTATAATGGAAGATGTAGTTCTTCGAGAGGCATCCCTGGGACACTCAACACCTAATGCGGAGCACCCCCAGGGACGCTTCTCTTGAAGAATGTCAGTTACAGGAAGGTGAGTAACCTCCTTTTCACGTTGAGATATCATTTTAGGCTCATCTAAACTACATGAAAGATTCGAAAGAGGATATGCAAATTCCACATGAATCAAGACGTGGAAAGTAATCAAGACGTGGGTTTTTTGGCAACCCCCCCCTTTTTCAAAAAACAGCCTTTCCTCAAAAAATGAGGTTTACATGGCTTTTTGGAAAAACGCATCTTGATTACTTTAACTTTTGAAATCTCCACTTT